TCAAAAAGGAGACATGATACCTTATAATTAATCAGAATTTCTGGTTACCGTGCAAGTATTCCGAAAGAACGATTTAGTGATAATTTGAAAATAGAATTAAAATATTATACCGTTTTTGTACGATTTTTCTAGACGCCAGAAATCGCGTGAAAAAATGCAAGTTGATAGTTCCTTCCCGCGCCTTATAATCCTATGTTGTTATCGACTCTTTCTGCCAATCGAACAAATTTTATTTTTTTTATATCGATAAACTAATTTTGAAGTGTTTAACAGGAGTGCGTTTTCACTACTTGAATTCGTTCGTTTTTTAATTGTGAATGTACGAAGTGGAGATGTTTGTTATGGTCGTCTGTTTTCTTTTGAGTCTTTTGAATTAAATCACGCTGAAATTTGATCTTTTGCTGTTCAAATTTTGATTCACGTTCTACATTCAATCCAAAGTACGCTCTAAAGTAATGAAAATGGCGCGAAAAAAAAATTAAGTTATAGTTTAAAAGTGAGTTTTTTTATAAGCAAACGTTTATGTAGTATTACGAGCTGGCTGTTTTCCAACCCAACTCGCATAAATTTGTGCACAACAAAATAGTGGATTTTCGTTACTTAGCAATTGTGCGCTGGCAATTTAATAGAACGGTATCGTATTGGAAGTAACTATGGCGTAGAGTGGGTTTTTTTGACACGATTTTCCGGTCGTTTTTGGATTTTCAAGAAGACATTTCGAAAAATTTCTTTTATTATTCATGTTTTCGCTCATTCAAACTCGAAATTGTTATGCAGTGACAATTGCTCAGTAGTTGACTTCATTTGTTGCCGTTTGACTCATTGCGCTTTTTTGACAAAATTTTCCCAAGCCGAGCATAAAATTTACCTCTCCGGTAACGAACGTTGAGTATGCTCAACAGTGAAATACAAAATTTTTTGTTTTGCTCACATCGACCTTATTTAAATAAAGCCGATGTGACTTAATTTACATAAAATCGAATAAAGAAGGGTCATTAAATTTTTCAACGATTACAAAAAATCTGGCATTTTTCGCATCATTGATTGACGGTTTGTCAAAGTAGTAATTAGCGAAGAAAATTATAAACCTCCTGTTATTATTTGTTTTTCAGGATTTTTTTAATTCATTTTTCAGTTGATATTCTTTGCTAAATAGAAGGCAAATTACGCTTTCCAATAACGATAGTGCAAGTAGCGCGAAAAAAAACGTGAACGAATTTTAGTTTTGAAGGTTTTTTAAATTTCCCAGCAGGAATAAAACTTCACCTATTGATAAAGTGTTTTGAAGTTGGGTGTGAATTTTATTTTTTTTAAAAAAACTGCCCAGCAGGAAAGATTCTTTCAATGCAAAGGTCGTTTTGGCCGTATATTTCTAATCTTACTTACAAGAACTTAACTAAAGAAAAAGATTTGAAATTCGCTAAAATCATTTGCATGACCTTGTTCGCTATTCCGTTCTATCCTTATACCGTTCTACCCAATGCATGCCATTTTACCCTGTGCCAGATTCAAGCTTGACAAAGGACATGATTGGATAAAGGTAGAATGGCATAGCTTGCAAAAGCTTATTGGGTTGGATTGCAAGAGTTAGATTGTTTTGCTACCAAAAATTCCGGTCTACGCAAAGATATTCATTTTTTATTGATGAGTATTTGCAGATGCGATTTAATGAATGGAAATGAGTTTTAAGGACTGAGGAATTGCAAAAGACTTAATAGTTGAAAGACCAATCGTAAATAATTGATAGTTTTTGAAGCACTAGTCCTGAAAACAATATTAGAGGTTGCTGTCCAAGTAGCACAGAAGGTTCGAACCAGAGTTATTTTTGAAAAAAAAAACTAGTTGTTGGCAACTACTCGCTGGCTCACTCGCTCTAAATTTGATTAAAATAAGGAACATAAAAATTGATTTTTGAAGGCTTATGATATCAATCGCATCACGACTGAAAAGGATTTGAATTGATATAGCATTCGACGCCGATCCCGACGTTTTTGTGATACCTAATTTCCAAAAAGTATATTCAAAAAAGAAATTCTGAAAGATTTTGTTCATGCTCGGAACAACTAGCGAGTAAAAACGGCGTTTCAACTCCTGGTATTTTTCTTTGTGCCCTTTATGATTCATTCTTTGTTATTTCAAATTCCCTCTCAAAATAATTTGTAGTTTTTAAATTAAAAAGCAGTTACGCGAATAAAGTGAGCTCTTTTTTTTCGACCGATGTTAATATAAAAGTCTGTAAATAAGGTAGCCTCTGAGACGTGTGACCGTGCTTGAAACTCTCATAACTTTTTTGAAAAATCTTCCTACTTTTGCCCTAGACCCGTTAATTAGTCCGATTATCCTGTGATTACAATGTCGAATGATATATCAGATTGAATCCCTTCCAGTCGTGATTCGGATCCCAAAAAGAAGTTTCAAGTGGAAGTTAAATTATTTGTTTTACAGGTAATTTCATTTTTTTTCTTCAATTTGCTGAAATTGAAATCGCTGACATTATGAAGATGTGATGGTTAATCAAAGTAGAAAAACTAAAATAATTCAAAATGACTAACCTGTTTTTTGCTGCTGCCTTGCACCTCCTTTCCTTTGCAGCTTGTGTCGCAATTATCATCTGCCGATAATTAAGCGTGAGCCGAAATTGATCCCATAACAACTTCCTTTGTCTTTGTTCAGCCCCTTGAATTCTTTGCAACTGGAAAGCGGTTGTAGAAAACGAGTAGCCAATAGCCATTCTTGGGCGCTAGAATTCCGGAACAATTGTTATTGAGACACATACCTCTGATTCTGTCGCTCGCCTGGCTTTTCCGAACGTCTCTGGAATCCGGGCTACAATTGCAGTCGCTGGAATAGGAATTCAGAGCTCTCGATAATCCACAGAACTGGTCCTTTAGTTACACTTTGTGGCCTCTGTTCCCGTTTTCTTTTCTTTGCGATTTTTCTTTTCATGCGCTTCATGCACATTGTAAATGCAGCTGAACGACTGAGGAAATACGGAACGCTCTTTGTAGCTTTTCCTCTCTCTCTCTCTCTCTCTCTCTCTTTCTAGCTTCGATTTTTTCTTTGCTTCCATTTTCAGTGTACGATAGTATCCTGAATTTCAGAATGTTGTGCTGAATTGAATAGTATTTGTGTATTTGAAGTAGTGCAGAGTAATCCCTTTTCCATTTGAGCTTTCAGTTATTCTAACCGATATCACGTGGTACCACCACCAACCAACTAGAGCTGGCTGGTGGCACCACCAATAACAAAAGACCTCCTTTTCTCCTCCTCAGTTCCGCAATTGTAATTAAAGACCTAGTTCCATGTTAACTATCCGAAAATCCAACAAAGCCAATCTTCGCCTGCTGGTTGAGTAAGATCTTTGCACATGATAAGTATCTCATTTTAAATGAGACTTGTAAACAGGTTGCAATCTGTCGGTCAGTTGTTTTATTTAGAAGATTGACTGTCAATGGAAGGCTTTGACCACCGGGACTAGGTGATTCAAGGAAATATGGGTTTTTAGAGACATAATGATATCAAATTTGGTTTTAATGGAACACAATAAGCAAATTGTGTTATAATTCGGAAACATTTCTTCATCGAGGCATTTCATATCAATTTGAACGCTGCTGCATCGGAAAAAAATCAACAGTTTTTTAAGATCATAAGGAAGCTGATGTAAAAATGATTAAAATAACGTGAAGGCTATTGATGAAAATTTGGAGGAAAGGGTCTAAATCTATTCATTTCATCGAAACTTTAAAGTTCAAAATTGAGTTTTATAGTTTGTTACCATCGATCGAGAAGACATTAGTTTTCTGGGTATGATACGAAAGATAGCAAATGAAGGAGTGTAGCAGTACTATTAAGTTATTTACTCAAGCGCCTTAAAGATGTTTGAGCTAGTTACTATTTATGAGACTTGTTATAATGGTCGGTCCTTTAACGTCATCAGAGAACGGTATACTTGATGCTTCTCAGCCAAATTACCAACGACTCGGTTAAAACTTGATTGTAAAATTATTTGTATATTTTGTTTTTGGACCATGCATGCATAAACAGCAATTGGTAAAGAAATATCGGAGCGTAATAGCGTTAAATTTACTTCCAAATTTAATTTCATACACTTCCCGAGTGCTTTCCTGTAAAAGGCAAAATATATCTGTTGAGTGACTGTCAAAATTCAGATTCCCTTCTCCGCGCTGAAACGCCGGTCTTCAATTGCGAAAATTCCAAATTGTTAGTTTATTAAATGAATTGACGAAAGCTTAAGTTGTTAAATAGAACAGCAGTTTTAATAAGTTAAGTCCTGGTCGATATTATCGAGGAGAAATTTTAGTGTTATTTATTTTTTACTTATGTCAAAGTGTCAATATTGGCTAAATAAATAACTTTATAGCGTATTTATCAAGAGCTGAATGCGCCAAAAAAACTTTCTTTTTGCATCGGTATTTAATCTTCTATTTAAAAACGCGCTTTTGATTTAGCGTCGGAAAAAAAATCTTTAAAAAAAGCGTCAAGATGAATTTGATGGTCAGCTTTTAGAAACTAGCTTTAATAGCTTGTGGGTAGTTATAAATCAATACTATTCCTTGTTACAGCTTTCTTATGTAATTCAATTCACTCTTGGTTTGATGTTGTGCGACAGTAAATGTCATTTTAAAGAAGACTTAATCGACTTTTGGACCAAGGGAATAATCTCCCCCCTAAATCAATTTAGGGGGAGTTTGTTCATTTGGTTGAAACAATATTTTTAAGCCAATTGGATTTGAGCATAGTTAGTACATGCAGGGCTTACTGCTTTAATTGTCATTTAATTTTAGGGGGATATTTTTCACTTGGTCTATTTAGGGGGGAGATTGTTCACATGGGCCTGACTTTTCTCGATCGAATGCCGATTGTGTAACTAATCTATCAATTTAATCCAGAGTTTGCTATGTGTTGCCTTTTATTACGTCAAGCTAGTGTATTGTTTGATGAAATGAGCTTTTCTAAATTTGGGTGCTTGTCTGTTTTAGGAGCGAAGAGACGGCAGTCCCCCAAGGGCTCTTCATCCCACCCTAATTCTGGTGGTGTGAACGGAGAGAGAAAAATATCAGCTTCACAGTCTGCCTTCTCTAATTTTGCACAGTCAGTTGTCAAATTAAACTCGTCAATTTTTTATTCAAGATGTTGGCGCGAGAACGGGCTGCTAAATAAACCAATCAAAATTTAGTTGTGTGATATTTTTAGTGTTTAAGGACAGTTTTTTCACGCTTGTTAATAATTTCGGAGTGCGGTCTGTAACAGACAGCCGCGTTTTCATATTAGTCAGTAAGCACAGAAATACTATATTAGCCAATCAGAATCGAGATGAGAAAGCAAACTAACGAAATAAACAATTATTAATTCATTCCTTGTCTCGATTCTGATTGGTTAATATAGTTTTTGCCTGCTTACTGACAAGTATCAATCCGCGGTTGTCTCTATACTGCTACATATCCATAATTTTGTATATCAATTGAACGCGGTGATCTAGTGTGGTGTCATATTAAACCTAAACTCTTTATTCAGAATCCGAAAAGGTTCTCTCGAAAAAAACTGGTCATCAACTACCTGCAGCGCAATCGGATTTTCATAGTGAAAGTTGGTATTGCGTGTCTCGGTGTATCAAAATGACTAAGTTTGAAGCGAACAAATATGAATACGTTTTCAAATCAATCATGAACAGTGTTAGATTTTTGCTATCAACTTATAACCTTTGCAAATTTGATAATGTTTTTTTTTCATTCAGTATTTGCTATTACCTGCGAGTCTAGTCTTTAAAGTAGAAGATAACGTAAATTTTAAAAAAAGAAACGAATTATACCGGTTGTGTAAGATGTTCATTTCATTTTTAGGGGCATCAAGACAACTGAATCGTCCAGCTTCTCTTCAGCACTAGGAGCTAGCGGAGGCATCGCTTCTTCGGCTTTCAAGTCCAAAACCGGATCAAACGATGCAAGCGGAACTGCAAATGGCAGCAACAGTGTGAGTGCGAACGTGAACAAAGTGTTGAGCACTTGGAACAGTGCACTTTCAACCACGACAAGTGTGACATCTTCAACTGCATCATCCGTGAACTCAATGTTCCAACAGTTTCAGAAACAAGCCAGAGAGAGATCACAGTTTGTAAGTAGAGACACATTCAGCCAATTATAATTTTGATCTGAGTTTATCTCTAGCGACATGCAGACTCCGATTATTGCAAACGAAGCCAAAATAATAGATATATAGTTGATTCCATGAAAAATAGACATGAAAGACACTGCGCCCATTTAAAATTAGTTAGTCTGCCTCGAATTTTCCTAGATTTTTTCTAATGTTTCGCTTTGGTTAGTACTAAGGACATTCATTTCATTTTCTAACATGATTTTCTTGTAGGAGCAACAACTGAAGAACAAGGCACAGAGCGAACATGCGTCAAAGTAAGTCCCTTCTTTCTAAATTCAAATTAAATTAATTAAACCGAAGAGTGTTTGTTTGAAAGAACTCAGTTAAATTTCAATTGTAAAAAATTGATCATGTTAGTATAAGTCTGCAACTTCATTACTTTAAACTGTGAATGGTACTATGATAATATTGATAGAATCCTTTTGACAGTTTAATAATGCTGTTCTAGCCGCGTGAAGACTTCGAATGCGCCAAATTTGTCTGAAAGCGAAGATGAAATGGAAGACGTGGGAGGCATGGGCAGTTTCGGGACGACACATGGACATGTGGTGGACTTGAATGAGCAAATGAATCTGATCAACTCGTTCGAGAGCTCAACGACTTCCTGAGGCCTCAAACTTCTACCATAAAACAGCGTATAGTTTCAGCGATAGAAACTTGTCTTTTCCAAAAACTGTGGTGCTTTTCTTCTGCGATCATTCGCCTGTCGGCCGACTAAATGTTTCCAATGGACGAAAGAAAGTAAATGATAGCTAAACAAAACGCCACGAGAGACAAAAAACGATCATTGCCCGTGCAATCCTATATCAGAACCAAAACTTTATCACGTTTCCCTGTATGTGGAAACAAGATCATATACATTTTGAAATGCAAAACAGATGCTCAAATACTTAGATATATAATAGTTAATAACGCCATCTTTATATGATACTTGTAAATGATAATTCTCTCTATTTGTTATTCAGGATTTGATTTCCGTGTACCGTACTCAACTTTAAACTACCTTAGTTACCACCTTTTCAGAACACAGCAGTAAAACTAAAAATAAACAAGCACCTTGTACCTTGTTTTTGCTTAAACTTTACAATGACGTATTTAGATTTAACTAAAATAGGACCGTTAACATAGTTACTTCACTATCATTACAGATAATTTTTGTGCTACGATTGTTATCTCCATTTGTCAAAAACGAACTTAAAGATCATTGTCAAGTTGACTATTATAAAACAACAATGATTTCTGCAAATTTTGAGGTGCTACTACTTTACATTGCAATCCTTGATCTGTCCGTTGTGCGATAAGTTTCAATCAAAGCAAGCTTATTAAACTAATTTCAGATTAAGTTCGTCCGAAAAAAACGCCCCTTCCCTCAATGAATTAATTTTTCTTGTTTTGTTGATGGAAATAATGTTTAATTTCTGTTCTTTTATACTCACAAATTTCAACTGTATAATGAAAACAAAAATGGTCGTTTCATTATGTGCTGGAAAGTGATGTTGGAAGAAAACAAACTCTGTTATTGTTGATTAACGACTGATATGGCAGTTTGAGAGAGTGAACGTTTCCTTTATTAATGAAGTGACTTATACTGATGCGTACGTACTTTAAACATAAATTTCAGAAATTAAAATTAAAAATTTGAGTTTCGGCCTAGTTTAAGATTCTTGGAGCCAGAAATTTTTTCTTGGATGATTAATGATGACTACTTTAAGCTGGGTCGGCATTGATGACTACTTAAAGCTTGATCGGGACTTATGTATTGACCCGCTCAGTCATCCTCCTCAGAGGTTTTGATCCGCTCAGAAGTATTTTTGATCAATCAACTAAAAGAAGACCCAATATCTGCCACAACAACAAATGTTTTTTTTTGCGAAGAGAATTTGTATACATTTTGTTCATGAAATTCTATGTTCGGTTGTAAAAGCAGGTGTTGATCAAGGATTTTCCCGAGCGGGAAATGCAAATTTTTGAGAAAGCTATTATGACCTTCCGAGCTCTCTTAAAACGCCTTGAGGACTTTTTTGGCAAGATTCTGCGCATCAGGCAAGTTTTGGAAAAAAAAACAGGTCGTACTGGGAAATTTTCCATTACGAGACCAGACTGCGTTTTGTGACTTAATAGAAAGATAATTTTGTGACTTAATACATTTTGAAATTAAATCTATTTTTATGAGTCATAAGTTCAATCTCATTTACTGCTTACAGTTTGAAATCAACAGCTAAATATCAAATACTGAGAGAATGACAAGCTTTCCGATGTGAAATCCTGAATGATTGAAAAGTTTTCGAATCTCAAATACCCAAAGACTGAACAGTTTTACGAACTCAAATATTGAAACAATGAACACCTTTCCGATCTCAAAAACTGAACGCATGAAAACAAACAGCGATAAACAATTTCATGGATTTTAATGCTGAGTTTTTAATAAGTTTTGCTAAAAGGTTACATCCACTAATTAAGTTGAACAATGATTTTGGTGATGGATTCCAAAAAAAAAGTTAAATCCTTGCAATTGCTGGATAAAAATTCCGCAATTGCTAAATAGCAGTTTTAGCTATAGCTATTATTTGTTTAAGCAAGGAGTGGTTCAGTTCAGTATTATACACAAAACTAAGATCCATTTTTTTGTGGAAGCCGACATATTTGAGGAATCTGGACCAACTAGCTACACTGTGTTGTTGCAGATTTCGCGACGAAACTAATGTGCCGACAAATTTTGTCGTTAGAGTTATTTATATGCGGAATCCACAGAAAATTTGTCAGCGGAGTCCGCTTACATTTTGGAACATGTTTAAAAATTTCTCTCTGGAATCCAGGAACATACAAACATCAAATTGTAAGCTTATCCAGTGCACAGTTTGGCCTCATTATGTCGACCAAACAACTGCATTTATCGTAAATTTGAGTTGCATTTATCGCTCACTCCACCTTAAAATTCCGTGCACCGTTTTTAAATTGACACCTGTCTGAAAAGGATGGCAAATTGTAGAAAATTAGCAAATTGTGAAAGAAATTGATGAAAATTGATAAGTGTTCAAAACACTTTTCTTGGTGTTAACATTTTTGGAAAAATGAGAATCTTGAATTTGCTAAAAATTTTTCGACAGCTAGAAACAACTAGATGCACAAAAATTGTAGAAGTTCATACTCTATAAAAAATTTATATTGACGTTAATTAAAATATTTTAAGAAAACAATACCCTGATTTCTGAAAAAAAATGATGCAGGTTGACTGGTGAAAATTTGTTGCATCGTCTTTTTTCTTAGTGCGAACTTCATTCATTGTTCGTTTTTTATCTAAAAACTTTGCGTGGTTTTTTATCATAAGTTTTTTGAAACCCATCTGGTTGATTTTTTTTTGCTCGACCAGCATCATAAATAGTATTTGCCATGTAATTTCAATTACTGGGTCATAAAAAGTTGGCTCGTACATCAGTCTGGAGCCCTTAATTATCCGAGTGCACTTTCAAGCCAATATTACACTTATTGAAAAACATAGCGCCCTCACGCAAACGTGAATTACAAATGTATGTATTTAGCATCTGATTGGAGCGCTTTAAAACCACGCATACACGTTAAAGAAGGCAATATTTTTCGCGTTTTTTTATATCAAGTTGATCAAATAAATTATTTTCAAATCCACAACACTTATCAAAAAATCCGCAATACAGTACACCTCGCAAAGAAAATCTCGAACATTTCCAGAATCTTAGCAACATTTTGTCGAGTAATTTGGTAATTTTTCAAGATGAAATTGCAATGACTTATTAAACACTGCAAAAACTCAAGATTATCAAAAGTCACTTTTTTTAATTTCGCAGAAACTGACGGAGATTTTTGCGCTCGGTTGTTTTTTTTTTCTGACAAGTTTCGACGTTTTAATTATCATTTTCAGACGGATTTTTTCATCATTCTGAAGCTAGTGTGGGAATGATTTCAAATGTTAAAAAAAAGATAATTTAGCTGTGAGGACTTTTGGGGGTTCAAAGATACCAATTTGGCTAATCTGAGATAGTTAACACGCGATATATTTTGTGCTATTAATGGATAAGCGAAGAAATATTCCGTCTTAGAAACCATTCCAATTTAAATTGAAGCATGTTACTTGGTCTTTTCAATTCTTTGCTATATGCAAATTACATCACACTGTACTTAAAATAGCGTGTGGTGAGATCGTTTTCAAAAAATCTCAGAAAAAATGTTGAAAATTTTTTTTAAAGCTTCTTCAATTTGTTTTAACAAACACTAATCCATAGATCAAAAAAGCATTTGGAATTTTTAGATACGAGTAGTCTGTTAACGAGCAGTCGGAGCAAGTGTACTGTTTTTCTTTGGTTTCGATAAAAGAGTTCCATGTATAAATTTTGATTTCTTTATTTTGAAACAAGGCTTGAAAAATTTCATTGCATCTGTGATATGGAAGAACTGAGAATTAATAATGGATATTTGCTTTCTCATGTCACAAGAGGCTATTCAAATTACAAATCTTTTTTGTAAGCGACTTGATTTTGATAAGTGTAATTATTATACATTGTTCGGCTTATACAAAACGCAGAATCTAAACAGCCTTCTAATTCTATGTCGTTTTTTTTGGAAAATTGAACTGGTTATTTTCCCAGATAATTGATTGAAATTTTTTTCCGTAAAAACTTTGACACAGAGTTAGTTTTACCTAAAAGCAGTTCCGACCGACACTGATCCAATACATTAAAAATGTTAATGGCAGAATAAACATGCTTATTGTTCTACACGATCATTTTCAATTGATTGTCAATGATTGCTTGGAGAATACAGAGTTTTTTCTCGCTATTTTTGTGTGTTTTTGAAAATGAAGAACGGGAAGTTCCTTGTCCTCTATTAACCTTGTGCCTTCTTGCCTTTTCTTAACGAAGACGAGCTTAACGCCTTTAATGGCTGTTTACAAGAGAGTGCGTGATAATTGTTCTGACTTTCAAACTTAAAGCTTGAGGAGCTTTTAAGCTTTAAGTACTTTTTTATTGTGTCAATCTTTGACATGTTAACTAATCATTTTTGACAAAATTTTTTGGTATCATTTAAAGATTTTTTTTACAGCGCTTCATTGTAAAAAAAACTATATTTCACCTGTGGTGAGTTTTCAAATAGTTATATTAGTTTGTTTTTGGGACTGTTTATACGACTAAAAAAATATTGGTACAAGTAAAACGCGATATATTTTGCTCTAATAAAACGCAAACAGCAAACTAAATTCTTGCAAATTGAAATGAGGCACTCGATTTGCTCATAATATTAAGTTACCACGCGCAAAAAATATCATTTGATACTTAAAACAGCTTGTGGAAGGATGAAATAAAAGAACTGAAATTTTTGAATACGTCGTAATATTTGAAAAATTCATACTCTCCGCCCTTTCATTTACTGACTAAACATCAATGGAAGTAAAAATGGGAGTTAGTGGTTTCTGCGGTATTTGCTCCAAATTTTGCAAAAACTGACAAAGTATTCACGCTCTCTATTTTTTGTTTAAGTTTTTCAACTCCTTTCTTATAACTTGTGAGTGGTAGAAAATGGTCACTTTTAACGACTTGGGTTAATCAACGCACGCAATAACTTGTATTATCAGAGCGTAAGTGGCGAATCAACTCATTTACTCCAAACTGAATTAAAGCAGGTACATTTGTTCAAATTGATACGTTGACAGACGCAAAATTTATCAGCCGATGCAAAATATGTCTACATATCTTGTAAAAGGTTAAAATGAAACAAAAATTAAAACCCTTGAAATTAATTCATAGATTTTTTCATAAGTTTTTTCTTACAATATTAAAGGGCTGTTGGGATATTCAGGGTTTAACCCTAATAAGATCTGCTTTGTTTTGCTACTTAGTTTAATA